TTATGATTGTTTCCTTTGATTACTCATTATGATTACAGACTAAACATATGATTACTTACCTACATGCTTACTTACCACATAGGTCATTTCCGAACTCCAGATATTAACTCCCCGACCAGTTATTACTTACCATATTTGCACTCTATGTTTCCCCAAACTTTGACATGTCCTTAGCTACAATTAATGTAACTCAGAACTCTGGAACCCCCCAGACTCCCTCGCACACTAGTAGTGTATAAACTGTAGCTACTCTATGTATTTCTCCAGTTCAAATATCGATTTAGATCTCCACCTTCTAGTCTCTAAGACCTTTCTCTCTATTCCATAACCTTTGTCCAACCCCTCATAAATCAAGATGAAGAGAGGTTAGAGAAGGTGCAGCACATAAGCTGAAGCTGCATTATCTCACTTGCCCTTATTACATCAAGTCCACAACTCCAATACTCCATACTCCATAACTCCAGCCGGACTTGGCATAATAAGAATCTGTAGGGTGCATGGTTCTTAACAGACACCCATTGAAGGTTTTCCAATTTATCTGCAGTGGTTTTCTGAAGCTGTGATTTTCATATGCCCAAATATTTGAGATAAGGCACAGAATGACTGTGCCTCATGGAAACAGGTCAATGGCATTTTACAAGTCCATCATGCAAGTAAAATCCTTGAGAAAATTCAGGCAGATGGAGGAGATGTTTGAAGTTCTGCTTCATTATACACTAGAATCAATCTGTGGTTGTTCAGGCTGTGGATTCAGTACTAAAATGACCTATTTCATGTCAGTGCACAGTAAAGTAAATTGTAGAAAAATACACAAATATCATAGAGTATATCTAGTGTATGTATGTAAATAAAATAAATAAAATAGGGGACTCATACCTGCCATGCATAGCAATGGCCCCCCAAAGTCATTTCTTTTAAATAGGCTCAGACACAGATACATTGTAATGGACATATTGTGTTATATAGAGTCTGCTTGGCTACAATCAAAAACAAATATATGAGAATTTCCCCTTAACCCCTCTTTTAGTTATGAACACTTCACTAGCCGACATGTTAAACAAAAGTTCAATTTCCAATATGCAAATTTCAATTCAACAAGTACATTTAACATTGTCTGAATTTGAATCTGTTGACGCAGATACATACAGTGTGCAAATTGGTGGCCGCCATTGTTAATGATTTGCTAATGGGCAATGTCAGTTCCTCAGGTTCTGATTTTGAAGACATATGTGATTATTTTGTAATTTCAAGGTCATATTGACTATCTATTATCTAGTGTGTTGTGTGGGAAACTGCTGCTGACAGGATCTCTCATTTGACAGAGTGTCGCATTCAGCACATCTTGCATCATTGTTAAGAACAGTATTTCTACAAGTTCCTATTATACTTAGTCCGGTAGGAGTTGGTCTGGACTTGGTAAAAGAAGGTCACAAAAGACGATGCGGCTTCAGCTTATGTGCTGCACCCTCTCAGACTTCTGTCGTCTTAATTTACGAGGGGTCAGATAAGATAGACTAAGGCAGATGAGAGAGACTGAGCTAGTAGAGAATCTGAGTCGATATTCAAACTGGCAAAATACATGAAGTGCTACAGATTATATACTCAAGACTGTGGTGGGGTCCGGGGATGTCAGAACTCCGAGTGTCAGTAAAATTATCTGCGGCAAAGTAGTAGTCCATGGAAAGCATGTGGTATGAACCGGGTAAGTAGTAACCGAACCGGAACTAATTAATATCCGGAGTCAGATATGAAACTACGTGGGTAAGTAAGCATGTGGGCGTGAGAGTACATAGGCATAGTAATAGTCCAGGGGCATAAAGATGGTCTGTAAGCATATTAGGTAATTGACTCATAACTCCGGTTCGGAGTTCCATAGTATATTATAATTTCAGTCCGAATTTCCGGGATGTAACAATCATGGCGAGTGAGAGCCCATCTTGACTTCAAGCAAATGAATAATTAATTTCTCACTAATCTGCCAAACACAACTTAGATTAACATCTTCGTATAATTTGCCTTATAAATATATATGTTTAAAAATACACGATTTCCAACCAAAGCAAGGTGATTGCCATCACCTGAACTACTTTCAATTATGCAGTGCTGAACTGTTACGGATCTGTAAAATAGTTGTAGGTATGACTATTCTAATAGGAGCCAAACTAAATTAGTGTTCTATGAAATTACTTACCAATTTACAAGAAATAAGCTAGAGTACCTTGAGTATAATTTAAATAATTATTCTGTAATGTTATAATTACTGAATTTCTGAGAAAGCAAGTCTTCTTTGCAGGAATTATAGGGAAACCTAATCATAAAACACACATTAACAGTCAAATTAATGGTGAAAAATGGTTATATTTGTCAATTATTGACATTACCAAAAAAGGTTAGTCCAATTCACAAATAGCCATCATAGTTGAGTTCATGTCGAAAAACAGGTTTCGGACATATATAATACATCATATTGAATGCATGTTAATATATTAACTAAATGGGCAGGTAACATAATTATATGCCACATAGTGCTCAAGGCACACCATTATATCCCATAATGAATTCCAGTTATTACATATTATTACAAAAGGGACTTCAGCCATTCACAAAATACCAAGTAAAAATTATCACAAGTCATTTTAATCACCAAATAAACATTACAGATGAATTCACATCAAAAAATGGTACAGAGTGTATATACATATCAGTAAATCACCAAAATTACCAAAATAGGTTAGTCCAAGTGCCAAACAGATATCATAGTTGAATTCACATTGGAAAATGATGCAGAATGCATATACATACTTCTCAATTCTCAAAATTACCAAAATAGGTTAGTCCAAAACCCAAATAAACATCACAGCTGAATTCACATCGAAAAACAGGTCCTGGAGATATATAATACATATATATCATACAATAGCTAATTAAGAGACAATTATTTTTTGGTATTTTGACCATTTTGACTATTTTGGATTAAATATCCTAATTGGGCAAGTGCCACAATGATGACAAATGACAACAAACACCTAAGAACATATTTGAAAATTTGTATACAAAAGTTTTTTCCCATGGTAACAAAATCATTATCTTTTTTATTCCCACGGTACTCAAGAGCAGCGTGATGGTCATGGTTTTGCCTTAAAACCATGGTCCAAAGAATGATGAGCCTTAAAAATAAAAAATTTAAGGACTCATAATCTAAAACGGAGGTGAAACCACCAAGGTTCCATCAGTATTTTGCATTTTCTAGCCCAATTAGGAAAGGTACCAACTTGGGACTATCAGATTTGGAATCTCCTCAAGAAAGTGCACCTGGTGATACCCATATCATCTATTTTAAGCCAGTTTTAAATGTGGTGAGATCACCCTAACAATAGCCCAGGGTCATTTGAAATGGACCCCAAACACCACTAAAACAGCCCACGCACATGGACAATCCATCATATAACCCAATGGACCTGGGTCAGAAAAACACAGCCCATGTCCAAGGGCCATGGTCCAGGTTAGCCTTGGACCTGGGTCACATTCCCAGACCATCCCAGGTGCATTTAGGATGACCTGTAGACACCAGTCTAAAATCACTACTCTTAGTAGGAACCTATATACCAAACAGTTCCTACTAAGAGTAGGAGAAATATGGTAGCCTAAGGTGTGCAAAGTATACAATTAGCTGCCATTCATCGAGAGCCAGTGGATGCAGGGAATAGATAGTCCACAAGTAATGAGGATGCAATGGTATAGGTAAAATAAACAAAAGACTCAGGGTTACCATTTGGAAAGAGCGGCAAATGTGAACATCTTCTGTTTCGTCATAGAAAAATCAAGAGCTGCCTGCTCCACTATCAACAAGCCTGGACAAGTGTCATGCAAGACTATCTTGACACTGCTGTCAATCATCTTACTGGTGTCCCTGGTGAACTGATGAAACAGGGGACAACTCTGAGTACAAAGGTTTGGGTGTATTGGGAGTGGTGGGGGGTGAGGTGTGAAAGAGCTATGCGAGTAAATTGTACCAAAAAGGAAATTGATCAAATAATTGTGGGTGGAGAAAATTCTTGTGGGTTTATTTAATGTACAAAATGACTGTCATAAAGGGCAGCAATAGTTGATTTATTTTTTGTGGTAGTATTCTAATTCTGTCAGCAGGAAATATCCTGTTATGTCCCAGGTGATGACCTATTTTTTTGTCTGCTTTGAATAAATAATTCTGGGATCTAATTCTCACTTTGGTTATATCCAGTAGCCAAAGGTATAACATTTAATTTTCATAGTAATATTGTAATTCTGGCAGAAGGAAATATGCTGTTATTTTCCAGATGCATTGCACACAGCCCACTATGTACAAGTTCTCCTGTTTTAAAATTGAAGTAAAAACCACAGCTGACTCGTACATGCCATGTGAAGCAACAGTCCACTCCACCAAGTCAAAATCATGTCAACACTCATAGAATTGTGAGTCAAAAACAGCCAGATGGATGCAGTCGGCATATTAATGATTGTATAAGTTAATTTGTATGTATGGTATAATGATATACCATGCTTACCCTCAGTCCTCTTGATCATTCAGATTGAGGGAAGTTGGAATGAGCATGTTATACAGAGTTTGAAAATCCTGAATGGATAGTGTAGTAAGTGACAAGATGATAGATGAGAACACAAGAGTATCTATGGACAAGGTATCAGTATATATTGAAAACTTAACAAGAATGGTGGAAACACAAGCAGCAAAGCCCAAGGTACAGGTAAAGTCACTGTTTCAATCATAATTTGCACTACTACTGCCAAAAGTGGACCATGACCCAAATTGAGATTGCCAATCACCTTTAGTTTTTTTATATTCTCTATGATATTCTGCTACATGATGAATGGCCATTTGAGCTGTACAAGCTGTATTAGATGTGGAGTGGCAATTCACCAAATTTAGCAAGCATTACCACGTATAACACCTCTGGACACATGTTGCAAGGACTCATCATGCCAGAGCAACCCTAAATAATAAGTGCCCCATGGCTGAGTTGGTTACAGCGTCCGACTGTTAAAAGCAATAGCTTGTAATAGTGAAATCGGAAGGTCGAGAGTTCGAGCCTCTCTGGGGCAGGCCATTGTTTTGTCTTTATTTCGAATTCTTGACTATTTATTTTGTCAAATTACCTCGCCGTATCACCCGTATTTGAGTCCAGGCAAAGCACGCTGCAAATACAACCTCAAAATACACAAAGTAGAGAGAGCGAAATTCGGTATATTCAAGCAAAGCAGATACAAAATCGGTCGACTCCCCACCCCAACAATATCCAGATCCGGGCACGATAAATCTCCGTTTTCCCTCCCAAATCGCGCCTGCCTGCTCCCCTACTCTGATTTTCCCTCAAGCAGGAGGGGGTGGCGGTGGCGGCTGCTCAGCCGGAGGAGCAGGCGCAGATGCAGACATATCTGCTGTATTAGGCGTATAACCAGCAGCACCCTGTTGGGTATAATATTGTTGTTGTTGTTGTTGCTGCTGCTGTTGGGCAGCCCATGCTTTGAATTCGGGTGTGTTGACGTCGTACCCGTATTGTGCCCTGTATGTATGTTATCGCAGTCAGCGCAGCAAAGGAAAAAAATACGTTGGTTAGAGACAGTGCGTACCAATAAGCAGCATAAGCGTCCGCTTCAGCTCCCGATGGAGACCCTTGTCCGCCACCCGGCGGTGGGGGAGGCGCACTCCCATCAGGGGGTGGTGGGGGCTGTTCACCAGGAGGCGGTGGAGGAGGCGCAGAAGCCGGTGGGGGCGGAGCGTACCCTGCATACGCAGCATACTGCATTTGCGCCTGATGCAATTCCATTTGTTGTTGTTGGACGACGACTTGCATTTTTGCGTGTTCGGAGCGTACGACTTCGAGGAGGTCTTCGGTTAGGACTTTTGCGCGGGCTACTTGGCCTTCGTCCGGGCCGCTGGAGGGATTTAGTGGTCAGTTGGCTATGGTTTGATGAGGAGAAATGTTATGGGACGAACGTTATGTGGATGTGCATTGGCTCGTCGGATTCACGACCTGTTTCTTGGTCGATGAAACCTGAGCCGAGACCTTTAATCTGCACACGAGTGCCCGTTTCTTGTTGGATGTATTTGACGAACATTCCCTGTGCACAAAGATCAGTATGTGGAAGGTAAAGAGAGAACAAGAAAGAAAACCGCACAGTTGGCCCGACGACTTTGGCTCGGACGTTGAAGTTGCGAATGCTCTCCAAGCCTACTGGCAGCTTCTCTTCTGGCCATTTACGCTGTTCGATAAGCGTCAGTGCTGATCACAATGGCCGGCACATCTGCAGACACGTACCTTTTCCCGTAGCCGGTCCTTTTTGTCCTCTACTAGAGACCCCATGTCTAGAGCGATGAGCTCGTTGACTTTTTCAATCGCATTTTGCAATATCTCTTTCGTTGTCGCTGCGATGTGGAGGTACAGAGGAGGGTCCTTCTCCGTCGCTTTGGACCGGTCAGGGTACCACACTCCCTTAGTACTAACAGACGCTCCAGTCTCTTCGTGGATCTACCCAATTCATGTTAATCTCAATCTCTAAACCAGAACATACATCAACCAAAACACTTACCTCGGTCTGCGTAGACCCTTTTGTCAACATATACCGATTCCTCACATCATTAATATCGATATCATGTGTGAAATCAGCATCGTGAGGATCCTTCATGTCCCCACCAGACCCAGACGGACCAGCGAATTGAGCTGCTATTTTGGCTGCTATGGCTGCTGCGGCTGCTGCGGCCTCTGAAGCTGTCTTTGTCTCATCTGTTTTTGCAGCTTTTGTTGGGGTATCGACTGGGGCATCGTCCCATTTGCGTTTGGAGGACATTTAGGAGAGAGGAAGGAGGTGTGACTGGTGTGACCGGAGGCTCGATGGGCTGTCACGGGTGTTGGGAGCTCTTTCTCTTGATCGAATGTCGTTCAAACGGCCCCGAACGCCTACCAAGTCGTCTGACTCCGAATCCTCCTCTCCGTCTCTCCAGCCCACCCCAAAATCAACCCGCAAACTCACGTCCTCTTCGTCCCGCCCGTTTCTGTGCACCCTCCCGCCCACATGCAACCCGCCTCGGAACCAGCCCACGCACATCGCCAACACAAAAGAGCTCGAGTCGCACTATGCTACCTATCATGCACACGTGTGTGAATTTCAGAGCTGTGGATGCGTTTTTCCCGATGCGAAATTGTTGGAATTGGTGAGCGATCTCGGTTTGATTCTCAGAATAAAGCGGCGATTGTCTGCCATCGATCGTTACATGTTATCATAAGATTTAAGGGCTTTTCCTTGAATACATAGACTCTTAAATGAGCTCTTTATGTTCAAATCGCTTCTCTGATCGATTGCACATATCAATTAGCATTATATCTGACACCGTCCCCAGCACCAAACTGAATGCCACGACCCGCTCGCAGCCCTCCGGAGAGAAAGAGGCGAAAAAATCGTACGTACCTTCATTCTTCCCGCCGTCCTACTAACCTGACCCCCAAACCCCGATTTATCTATCAATCTAGTTTGCATGTCATCTAACAACATGCCCACGCGTCTTCTCCACCCCCAAAACACGCAGGCTCCATCTAATAGATACACATGGATACCCAAAGGAATATTTTTTCGCTGTTACTAATAAAGGCGTTGGCGGGCTTTTGAAGAAATGGGGTGAAGGGGTTAGTATGTTGAGGAAGGAATGGAAGGAACGCGATGGGGATGGGGATGATGATGGGACTGATGATAGGATGGAAGCTGATTGTGACGATATACCCGCGGATGGAGAGATAATGGTCGGAGATCCGTACACAGATACCACGCACGCAAGACCACCGCCACCACAGCAGCAGCAGCAGCATAAACCGCCAGCGCAATCGAAACAAACCCCCGCCCCCGACGACCAATTGGACGGTCTAACATCTTCGATGACTTCCCTCTCGCTTGTACCGCCTTCTATCCGTTTTGGACGGGGTGGGAAGAGCGGTGGGTTCGGGAATGCAAATGCGAATGGGAGTGGGATTGTTAATGCGCAGGTGGAGGCGCAGACCCAAGCTCAGAATCAAGCTCAGAATCAAAATCAAGCTCAGAGCGTTGAACCCCAGCGCCCAGCAAACGCCGTCCTAGGTCAAGGCCGGGGCCGTGGACGCGGAAGAGGACGAGGGTTCATACACCAGCACCCCCACCCACCACCCAACGGACACCACATCATTCCCGGGATACCTAGAGGTAGGTTCTCGACGCGTGGGTTACCCGTTGGACGTGGGGGTATCATCAACGTGCCTGTTTTACGAGGAAGAGGTGTAGTTGTAGGTATACCAAGAAGCAGGGGGAGGGGTGGGCCGCCTGCTTTGAATTGAATGTAATAGTATCCAGGTGGTTAGTCGATTTGGCAATTGGGATCTGGGGTTGGCACAGTCAGTTACAGCGTCGAAGGGGGGAAAAACAAAGTCTTATCATCGTCGTCGTTTAAATAATCGGAAATGTACAAATGTCTCCCTGCTACTTATACTCGTACTCGGGAGGCTTAGTTGGTTAGTTAGTCACATAGCATTTGTAAATAATGTAATAACATTTGGATCGCGGGCTTTGGTGGCAGAACAATGATTGACAGTGGATTTGAATGCGGAAACACTTTTTGGGAACTACCATGAGGTGCGCATTCCACTGTACTCCATTCATAACCGCCTTTCACAGTATTCAATACCTGCATAGTACACACGATATTGTAAGGTGGAGGTTCTGCTGATATCAATGGCGCGCGTACATAGCCACATGTTCAGTATTATTAGTACCCCCCGAACTACAAATTTTCCACCTTTCGCTTCTTGCCTTTTTTGTTGTCAGCTAAACAGTACAAGAAATTGTCAATTCAGCGGAATGTTCTGAAAGGGACAGACAGCCTTACACACTGACGACCTTTTTTCCGAGCGCGTGGTGCGGGGGGTGGGGGAGGGACCTGCATGCGCAAAGGACATCTGAAATTTGATGATGGGTGTTGGGAGATGAGACGTAATAGCAGGTAATTGTTTTGAGCGCGTGGAGGGCCCTGCGCGAAGAGCGTTAAAAGTAGAAAGTACGGTGTAAGCAATCGAACAAACCAGCGTGTGGACTGAAGATACGTTTCTCTGCATGTAGGTGATAAGGTCCATCGGAAAGATGAGATTAAGGTAGACAAACCGGAAACCCTATCCGACATGTCGTCACTATCACTATCATCAGACTCCCCAGACCAACCCTCATCATCCGAAGGTTTCGCAACGCTTGTGATATCAGCAAATGATTTCCAATGAGCTAGCTGAGAGGTTGCACCCGGATACATGGACATTGTCACTTCCTTCATGGAATTTTGGTCGATATCAAACATTTTGAAATCATCGCTTGACTGCTTCAGCAAATCTTCGTACACAATGTTGTCCTCGGGGCGAATCGCGCCGAAAGTGGAAGACGATGCTTGGCCACACCAAATATCGAAAGAGGTGTAGTTGTGGTTCGGGGATTTATCCTTCTTCTTGCCTTTCCATAGTGGAACAGACCGTCGCCTATGCTCCATAACGTGGACGATGGATTTATGAGCTGCAAGGGCATATACGATCCGAATGACTGGCCGAGGATTCTGTTCATTCTTGTTGAAAATATCCAGCGTGAAAGGATTCATCGCATTGAAAAGATACCGTTTCGGTGTCGTCGAGTCTTTTGTATCGTTCTTCGCTTGCATCATGATGACGGTTATGTTCGACCTCTTCAGATATTGGTTGTTGTAGAGCACCGGAAGGACGAGATCGATGCCGGCTTGATTGCCGGCGCAGACAATTCCTACTCCACGAGCAGCAAGCGTCATGATGAAGCCGTCGTTCAATACCAAGTGGTCGTAAACCTTAATGAAATGAGTGACATAGATATGAGCGTCCTTGAATGTCTCGCCAAAGGTCTTATTGTCATCGTTATTGCGCAGTCTCGATGGCATTGCATCCCGGATACGATCGTTGTATAGACCTTGGGCGAACAGAGATTCGAAGTATGATGTTGCCTTCACAACAAAGGATTGCAGGCTACCGTTCTGAAACGAGAGACTGTCCAACGTGCCGATGGTGATATTGGCGA